GTGCCTCTTGTCGTAGGGAAATACGAACGCCAGATGAAGGAAAAAGGAATCGAAAATCGTGGGGCAGCAAATCCGGAACTTCTTCCATTATTCTAGTTCTCAAATCCGAAAGAAAACATTCTGGATTAACTTCAAAAAGAGAACTGGAAGGCACATCGTTTTCATCATTTTTCAAAGTCAAAACATCCATAATTACTTGGTGATGAGTATAGTTTAAACTTGCGCTTTTATGCTTCCCTACGGATGAAATCCAATTAGCGAAAACAGCCCACCCATTATACTCGGCGTATTAGTCATATCCGCAGGAAATAGGGAGGATCAAACCAATCAGTGTTAGCCATACACATCCCACTACGAGTGTGCATCAACGAAATTATTGATATATAAGGCAAATCTAAAATATGTCCGCTCTTTTTGTTGGTGTGAACAGYGTTTTAAAAGGGTTTCATGCCACTCAAGCTGTGCTTGAAGTGGGCAAAGAATATATTCTGACGAAAATGAATTCCGTGCATGATGAGAATGCATTTTTTGTTTTAAGTAAGGATGGGACTATCCAAGCATCTATGCCAAGAGAGCTGGCGAGACTTATTGCTCCATTTAAAGTTCGGGGGCAAGTGTTGTGCATCGTGTGGTAAGTAAAAATTCATATTAAAAAATAATAAAATAAAAATAAAAATGCAAAAGCTTGACGATTTTTTTTTACTATTTTCAGTTCCCCCACAGCCGGCCTCAGAGAATCAAACAAAGGTTTATTTGAAGTGGGAGGTGGCATTGTCATGCCTTGCATTTACTGCATACAATGCAAAAGCGAAAACGTTGCCCGGACTCTTGCAGGAATTATCCCGAATAGTCATCTGCGCAAACTAAAGGCTAGTAGGAATCAATATATTAGTCCGAGGTTGGCAAACATTCACGTCTTCATTACGACAAGTAATTATATACCCATCAATCATATGCGACTTTATAAGACCCAAAGTGACAGTGTCATTTCAGTCTATTATGTTGTCACGTTTGGGAACCTGATTCAAAATTTTGTAAATACTATTGACCCAAGACTCGGTACCCATCCATCCATCCATCCATCTTCCCATCCATCTACCTTTGGGAACCTGATTCAAAATTTTGTAAATACTATTGACCCAAGACTCGGTACCCACAACAAACTCTTTTTGGACCATGTAAAGCATTCGGCTTGCCATTGCTACTTTTAATACGAAATGATTGAATTTGAACTGATTTTGAAAATATGTTTA